GGTGCCCCCCAGGAGCCGCGGAGTCCCAGGGAAGTTCTGGGGTTTACAGAGAAAGGGAGACCCGGCCCCGTGGGGCCTCCGAACCCCCCCTTTCTAGCTCCCTGGCCAGCAAGCCTTTCCATGGAGGGTGCTGGCGAGGACCCCACCATATTCAGGGCCCATTCTCTGCCCAGTGACCCCCGGCTTCTGGCCACCGTGACCAACTCGTACCTGGGCACGCGGGTGTACGGCACGGCCCTGCACGTGAGTGGTGTGTACAACGGGGCGGGGGGGGACACGCACCGGGCCGTCCTGCCCAGTCCCCTCAACATGCGGCTGGAGGCGCCCATCGGAGCTGGGGAGCAGCTGGTCAGCACCTTCGCCCTGGACACTAACTCAGGTAACTGGCCTGTTTTGCTGCCCCCGGCTCGGGTGAGCAGGCGGCCAATGGCAGCACTTGCCTCTAACTCAGAATGTCCGAGCGTCGGGGGGTCCGCGAGAGCCCCCCGACGCCCGCCTGGTCTGGCCCGGGCAGCCGGAGAGGCAGACTCGCAGGGCCCGTGGCGCGCGGGGCGGGGCCTGCACCGGTCCAGAGGGCGGCTGTGCTGCCCGCTGGCCCAGGAGAGACCGTCCGGCACCGCGCAGGCTCCTTCCTGCACACCCTGGAGGGCCCCACCTTCTGGGCCTCCCACCGCATCTACGCCCACCGGACCCTGCCGCATGTCCTGGCCTCCAGCGTGTCCATCGCCCGCCGGGCCACGGGCTGCGGGGCAGTCACGGTGCTGCTGCGGTCCACCTTCTCTCCAGAGAGCCCGGACCTGGCCCTGCGTCTGGGCCCCTGCCACCAGGGAGCGCGGTGAGAAGGGGCTCGGGGCTGGGGGGCCGGGGGGCCGGGGGCCGGGGCCCGCCCCTGAGACCAGCTGACTTTCGCAGGTACCTGTACGGCCACACCCTCACCCCCGAGCAGCCCGGGGGGCCACAGCAGGAGCTGCACATGCTGTGGACCCCGGTGCCCCCCGCCCTGACCCTGGAGGACGGGGAGCAGGACC